TGTCGTCGTGATCCATTCGACCGCTAATCTGCCCGAGCTTATTAAATGGTCGGTGTCTGTGGAAATACGATAAGCATTGGTATCTCATCGCAGGCATAGGAGGTTATTCGACCGCTAATACCATCCCTTATCCAAAGCATGGTAGATGTTTACGCTGAGGGCTGATAATAAGCAGCCCAAGTAATTGTATTAGTTATCCAAAGGTCATTCGGCTGCTAGACTTTGTTAGTTCCAGAAAAATGATGGATGTTTATTGGTATTGGAACTATGAGAAATTACTGCTTTATCATCTGCTTTCCTTAATACCATCAGTCAAATCAATTGAAAGCAGTATGTTACTCAATACAATAGCCCGGCTATACTCACTTTCACAGAAGCCTACGTTGACATGCGCGCGGTTGCGAGCGGGGCCAAACTGGTCAAAGAGAAAGCAGTAAAGAAGCCGTAATGAAGAACAAGCCAAAAAGAAGGAAAATGAAAAATAGGAAATAAACACAGGGATGTCAACAGCTGTATGTAAAATGTGCAAAAAATCGTGCGGTGCCCATGAACAGGAGCACGGTTTTCTGATAAAACTAATTTGCTTCCTCTAGAGCTAACCTGACGGTGCAGAACACTACTAGAGAACAACAAAATACGGCAGGAGTTGAGAGTAATACGAGAGTCATGGAAAGAGGAGGAATCAGCCGATGAATGCGACAGCTATCAAGCTTGTTTAGCTCGCAATCATGTCTGTTGACGCTCGTACCCCGCTCCCGGATGTAACAGATGCATATGTGTACCGCCAGTAGATGCACCATTCACTGTAACCCAAAAATATGAGAAAGTACCTTGCCTTGATTTCCAGAGATGTGAAGTCATTGAAAGTGGAAGTCAGTATCAGAGGTGGAAAAGCCAAGCGGGACAAAACAAAAACGAAAACGAAAACAACAAAGTAATGTAGTTAAAAATCGAAAATCGGAAAAGTAATGTACTTCCAAATAAAATAGTTTCTTGCTTTAGAGTTGGCTTTGATGATTAAGTAGAATGGCTCTTATTTGCATTCGATGAGTATCATCTCTTGCATTATTCTTATATGAAGGCACATTTAAAATGGCATTTGCTAAATTTACATATGCTTGTGCACCGGCATCAAGGGCGGTGGTGAATTGCGCTAAAATAGCAATCTAAGGTGGTGATTTTTCCCATCGACGAGGAACAAGGAAGGTGGAAACATGGGCATGACCTTAGTTGAATCCGTCGGGCCACGCTTTCAAAACTTGCATCATTCTCAGACATGAACCGAGGTAATAGTAATAATAGCTGGAATATCGCTACTGAAGCAGGAGTCACTCGGCCGCAGCATTGGAAGAGATGTTGACAACAGGTAAGCAAAGACTGTTTGACAATCTTGCGCTCCAGCGCAGCCGCACTAACTACCCGCAGTTGCTTCGCGCGCGCGTTGTGCCTAGAGCGCGCTAGTTGGAAAAATCGTCAAATGTACCCCCTATTTGAAGGACTATAACTTTCTTCATTGATAACCATTTCAGAAAGTGAAGGCAGCTTTTGAATGCATGAGACTTCTAGTTTCTAAACAGTGCCAAGCTTTTTTCGTGTACATCTTATCTCAAGAGTTGGAGGCGTCGAGGAACTGTCGAAGAAATTGAAATTCGTATGATCATTCCGTTATTAACGTCGCTTCCTCTCCGACCCTGTTCCGATGAATGACGCATTTGCGGCTGCAGTATATGACTATGCCAAAAGGCTGCGAATCTCCCTGTTTCGAACTTTCTACTAATATACTTTTCTCCACTAGATTCTCAAATGTGTACTTTGATTGGGTAGACATATGCTGCCCTTCCTTACGATTCTTACAGCGTTTGCTGGCTTTGTCTTCGTACCAATCTCTACGAACCAAATCAGCAAGCACCATGCATTTAAATTTTAATTCTAGTAGATGTAAGATACCATTTGCATTACGCTAACTAAACACTTGTGAAATTAATGATGACAGCAAATAAGTGGCAGCAGCACCGTTGTGTCCGTTGATGAACCTTTTGATTACGACCCCCCCCAACTCTCATCGGAGCAAATACGACCCCCTGTCGAGGATTTCCTCGATCGTCATTCAACCTGCTCTTATCGCACAGAGAAGTGATGCAAGTTTCTGACCCCTATGTTGGAAGATGCATATTTCCACTGAAACTCAGCATTTTTGATCGTAACAAAAAACTCTAAGAAAACACATTTTTTTTGACAAGATGCATACTCGGTTGTCCCTCTCGTATGAAAGTGGACGCTGATGGAGGCGATGAAATCGCCGAACGTCGTTTCCACTCAATTTGAGCACCAAAGCACTCATGAGCTTTCTTACTCATGAAGCTGTCGAAATGGTTGGGGAGAGTGGTATCCGTAGGGAGTGGGCCAGTGAGTAAGTGTTTCTAGTAAAGCTTCGTACGCCAGTTTGTTCAATCTTGCGAGGTCGTTTATGGGACGTGTGGCTGAGCGCCACCATGAAGGAGGGTTGTTTCATTTCTCTCGGTTGACGAAGTTGGTGTTTCTAGAGCATCTCATCGGTATGCTGGAGAGACATTGGTGTTGTGTCAAATTCACCTGGTTCCAAGAGGTGTGGTGCATCAGCCCCGTGGGAGACCGCCGAATGTTGAGCTCAACTTTGACCTTCTACAATTTCGGCTTCGGATAATTTTTTGAAGATGTATCGCGGCCTGTCTATCAAATAAATGGCTTCATCTAGTCGTAAAGGGTTCATTTTCTGCCGTATCTGAAAATGCTTTCCGAATACTGGGAGTTTTGTTGGTTTGCCGATGCTTCAGGCAACCCTCGCAGTCGCCATGTGTTCAGCTTTTTCACCTCGCCAATTACCTTTAGCAACCACAATATTCAATACATTCACTTCTAGTTCTAATGCCTGCTATAGCTCAGTTAGTCTGGAATCATGTTCTACGGCAATTTTCAGAAAGCCGTCGGCAACAGCAGAGCCATGGTCATGACTGTGCTTTTATGGCTGAGTCATAAGTAACTGCCGACTTGACAAAATTTTTCAAAAGTTCACAACTTTCTTTTGAACCACCTTGGTTAAGTGCCCTATTTACCACAGCTGTCTACAAGTGTCCTCTATCTATCCGCAAGTGAATGGATACCTCTCTCACAAAACTACGCAACCTTCGACGTCAAGAATCAGTGGATGTCTGTTTTGAGGTGGTCGCCATCATCGTAGTTTTTCTCGTTAAGGAAACGAGCAAGCAAGCGGAGCAACTGGTGATTGGTTGCTATACCTCAGTGGATTAGAAAGAGTGGGGGAAATCATGAGGCCAAGTTTCTGTATAGTATTCTGGCATTCCCTCGTTTCATGTGGGTTGCGAGCTGCCGCGCAGTGGAACAATTTCATGTGTAGGAAACCTCAACTTGCGATATCCGAAGCACGTTTATACAGCTGTAAGCAGTAGGTGTCTGCGCCAGCAGTGGTGGTATTGTTGAAGTCTGTAATGAAGCAATCCTACAATCGGAGAGCGGAACCTACTCCGGGTGAAGTTCACCTATTGGGGCTCGTTGTCGCTGCTGAGCTGCACGTTCCCACTGATGCCTCCGTAGGTTGCTTGGCTAGACTGCGCACTCCTCAACCCCAGTGACCCTTGTCAAGCCGATCGAAACAACGGCTTTTATGCAGCAAACTTTGTGAGATGATCACACGTGTCCTTCGAGCCACCTCGTCCAACTCGTGAGAATTCCATCTTCCCAGTGTGTACAATTTCTCCATGGCTCAGAGGGAACGACACATGGTGCACTGGGAGGACTGAAGGTCTACTGCAGTTTGACGGGTACTGGTACCGGGTTGCCTTCAAGAAGCTCTTGCATGCGTTCAATATCTACGGCCATTGGGTGTCCAAAACATGGTCGGTCTTCAGGGTTATAGTCGCCCTGGCGAAGCTTCCCGAACCACTTTCAATAGATATTCTCAGCGAGTCTGGTCCTCCAGATACACAAATATTCCGACAGGCTCCTCTTGCTGAGTGCCCCAGGCGGAACTCGTAAAATAGACAGTGACGAACATGTGTTGAAGAGGACGGCATTATTTCTCCCAAAAGACGAGTACTGACGGTAAAATTTCGTAATACAAAAGGACCCCGCCACAAACTGGTCTGCGGGAACAATACAAACGTTTTCGGGGAAAAATGACGTGGGTTTGAAGACAATTACTTATGACTGTAGACTGACTCAGCCTAATACTAGTGCTTCCCTGGCCCCATCCTCCAGTATTATTTTGAGTCTGTCGAGCACCGCGTCAGAGTTTCAGCACATCGAAGAAAACTTGCCGGAAATCACTATCTTGATACCTTCAGTTCAAATCTATTAAAAATCCCAAAATAAAGAGTCATACAATTCAAATACGCGTAAAGGAAAGAACATAGAGTAGGCCTGCCAATGTTGGCATATCTTCTGCGGGACTTCAGGTCTTGAATGAAATTTTATTATGGGAATATTTCATGTATGCATGGCATGTCGAAACCCGCATTACTTTCCGAACAACATAATAACAAAACTTCCATACCCATCGGACGTAGATTCTTTAGCTCATTAGGCAGCTTCACAAGCAAACCTAGTTCTCCGAACGTTCTCAGTCGTGAAACACCTTTCAGCGATGATTGCCTAACCTTAGCCAACTCAGCAGTCACAACGCTTTCTCATGTATCATACTTGTAAAATGAGCGTAGTGCTTTTTTTGCGTACCATGAATGCTATGAGTTTATGAAGCTTCTCTTTGAAGATTTTTTTGTTCCGATGAATATTATCGATGGCGTAAGTAAGCGTTCTAGGTAGCACAATCACAGAGGTTTATAATCAGTCATACTTTCAATTATAATCGCTGCAGCAAAGGCATTACTTGATTTTATAACATTTTCTCTGAGGTAAAGCAGTCGCGGAGCGGGGGTGAATCTTAGCAATTATGAGTAAGGAAGCGTAGTGCATAATGACAGAGTGTAGAGATCACGCGGAAGCACAAGGCTCCTTCCATTCAGTAAGGCAATGGCTTTTGTTGTCTTGAACATCCTCTGCATTTGCTTCTCCGAAACCTGAAAACGGCACGTTCAAAGCTCTTCACTTTGGTACACCTCATTTTGTGAATGTACAGTAGGGGTCAAGAGTCTTCGCCAAAAGTTTTTTCATGCATTGTTTTTCTCAATTGATTAGTTCCTTTAAAATATTAATACATTATCGTCTTTTCATTCTTTCATTTGTTCTCAACTTTGTGATTTCTTGAGTTCTAAGAATTCACTTAAAACTCAAAAGAAAACTCATTAATCTATCTCCGAGCCTTTGAAGAAGTGCAATACACAACAAAATCATTTCGGCGAACTCTTTGGACGTCTTGCTTACCATAATCTAACCATTTTAGTACTGAATCCCGTCTATTTTGATTACAGGGATTCATGTTTCCTGCCTCAGAAGAGGCAGGTCTGTCATCGTTCAGAGTAGCGGTAAAGTTCGACGATTTTGCATTAAAGGACGAATTCACGATGAAAAAGCAACCCATTTCAAATTAACCTAGGGATGGTGAGTGGTACACGAAAGAAGGAAGAACCATGAGAAACGGCCCAGAACCCGAGAAATGGGACCCCTTCCTTGCCCGTTGATTTGAGCATTGATGCGACTCTCAACGCTACGCTCTCTCACCTATCTAATCACTCGCCACGTATAGAACTGCGGCGAGTGATCAGATGATCGGTGGGCGTGCACTGACCAGCCGCGGCGGGATTAAACCTTAATAGGTCAACGAGGTCAACTCCTCCTGTGCAAATTGTGCTTCAGTTCGCACACTTAGGAGCTCCGCGGGTCCCTCAACCAGGTGAATTCTTCCTAATTCGATTTTCCCTCTGATCGTGAATTCGTCCTTTAAGTTCAGCTTAGCCTCATTTGTAGAGTCAACTGTGCAGAAAGGAATCCTGACCAATGCGCATCAATGAGTTACCACTGGTGATTCAGATGTCAAATGGAATGTCGAAGCGAGGCAGGACCCTAAATGCGAATTAAGAACAACGATATGGCCCCATGCCATAGCAAGTGGCTACAACATCGCCTCTCTCGCCGCGGCCTCGCCAATTTGCTTCATTTTAGCTTTCAGTGAACACACGAATCAACGCCGCATGCATGGAACAGATGGAGTCTCATGGAACCCTCTGCGATCGAAGGTGCTCGAGACGCTCAGAGAAATGATCCCTACTATATATAAAAGCTATGTCTGTCTGTCTGTCTGTGTGTGTGTGCGTTTGTCACGTGTGCACGAAATTCATAACACGCCGCAAGCGTCGTTAGAGCTGATTTTTTATAGACATATAGGGGTGGACAGGAGGAACATATTTGGTGGGATCGCCAAGTGATAACGACTGATGAGGACTGATAGTAACGATATGCGTACGAACGTAGAGAGCACTTGAAATAGAAAATAGAGAGCAGATTGTAGATAATGCCTTTCATTTCAATATCATTTCATCAGCGTTGTAATTGTAAACTCAAACACCTTTCGACCGCTACACCTTCTAGAGTTCTTGAGGATGAATGGGATGCTCGAATAAATATGATAATGAATACTGGGCATTCCGTTTTTGAGATAGTCGAACCGCTAAATTCTACCTACACTCAGGCATAGTGTTAGTACATCATCTCTGGTGCTAACTTAGTTGGGGGGGGGGCACGCGGCGGCGCGGCAGTCTGCTCACCTGGGCTCTCTCGAGCGAGACAGTGTAAACTCGAACATTCCAGCTTTTCACGCATGTCAAGTGACTGCCCCACCCCCACCCCCCTAGACTGCCTACACTCCCCCTGGCCCACGGATTTCCGAACATGCCAGGCGAGCAGACTGCCGCGCCGCCGCGTGCCCCCCCCCCCAACTAAGTTAGCACCCATCACTTTTAGCTGTGCACTTCACTGCGCTTATCAAACAGTGAGATACAGCCAAGATGGGCAGCCTATGCAACGGACAGTAATACATTTAACGAAGCAGCTATAATTTAGCGGTGAAACCTAAAGCTTCATCGATTGTCAGTTCTATCAATGCGCGCGTAACGCGGAGCTAGACTCGTAACATATAGAGTGGAGAAGCGGTGCTATAAGCAGCAAGGGCTAAGGGAAGAATCTTACGAAGCAATTTCGCTCCGCCGCATATTAGAATGCTAAACTGCATGCGGATTACGTAAGCAGGAAGTCGACAATTTTTAGCTCGGCATGTATGCCAAGGAGGTGCCAGGAAACAACCGTCCGGCGATGTTCAAGCCATGTGCTTAAGAGCTTACAGTCATCTAATAAGGAAAATGTGACATCAGCTCAGGTGAGCGACCACGAGAAGCACTCGAGAAAACATGGAGGGACGTCGAAGAGGGGCCTCGCCGGAGTCAGGACCAACATGAAGTAAATAAATCGTATGTATAAATCTTTCGCCAAGAACCCCAATCGTACCTTTTGTAGAGCAGCGATGGCAGTTTCGCTCCACTTTATNGCTTTGGGTGGTGGTGTATGCTTCTTACCAATGCATCGAACAAAATTTGAGAAACATGCCTAAAGTGCATTTACTATAATATGCATCATCACGACGATGAAGCTTCGAGCTTTCAATAAGCATAGAATAAAGCAACAAGCGATGAGACACAAAACTTTAATTCTTAAATGGTGGCGACGTGGCTTTGGTTTGCACATTTCTTTAAAGACTTCAGTTGTGGCCTCCTCAGCGACATGCGATTCGCCTGGTAATACACAAGATTTTTATTCTCAAGGGATTGTGAAACGATCAACATTCACCGGTCGGCCTCTAAACTATCTCACGTTGGGGTCACAGAAAATGTGTTTCCGAAGCTCAAATTTCTTGAGGTTACGCTAGCAAAAGTATGCGGTTTGTTATCAATCGAAAGCCAAATACCTGCCTAAGATGCGCTGAGAAATACTATAGTGTTTGCGGGATGAGTGCACTGCTAAAGAATGAATCAAATGATAAGAAAGAACATTGAAATCAGTTCTGCGCTCAGCCAGCATTTTACAAACACCTTCTAGGAAACAGTTTTATAACTAGAAATGAGAAAACCCTCCCACAACAGTCTACCGGCTACAGTCTGTTCTAGTTGGCACTTTTGTCAGTTTCAGTCCGGCCGGTTCATTATAGAACATCACAGAGGGAAGGGATGCCAAATCTTCCTAAGAAGCTAGAGCAAGAAAAACTCGGCATGGAGAGTTTCATTCACGGGAATTAGCTAGCTTCAACTCAATAGTGGATTTTATTATTGTTCAGGTTGCCTATAAGTCTTTGGCCACTTATCGATTTTTTTCAAATCCACTTTCTCCTTTGGCACGGTCAGTATTTGCAATCATATGTGCTACCATAATTTTCAACGTCCTGCCTTTCAGCAGATGACTTGTGGATGCTATTTCCCTAGAAATTCTGAGCTTTCGAGGCAGGAAACTCACGGAGCTCTATCTCTTTTAGTAGAATCAACAGCAGCAGCAAACGGTATTCCTGTTGGAGGCGGATCTGCTGAACACAACTGGAGAGACAGAACATCCCATAAGGGGCTTGGAGACTTTTGCTGGACCTTCTTCAAAATTCCTTGACGGTCGTTGCTTGGATGAAGTGAACTTTGTAATGTTTTCCAAGCATAGTGCCGGAGAACCCATCCGCTTGCCCACATTATCGAACTACAACAGCAGTGCAGTTCGTTGGTAGGAGCTGTCGGTAAACGGAATCGCTTGCAGCTTTACCAACTCTGAAAGTTGCCTCTCAAGTTGCAGTGCTGGAATGGACGTCGGAATCTCTGGTTCTACGCGTCTGAGCCAGTGGCGCTCGCGGGTGTGGTTTACTTGAGGAACCCACTCCTTGCTACCACCAACAAAGTAGTCGGGTCAAACAAGATACAGCCGGTAAATCAAAATGTTCATGCAAAATCTGAAGGCTTCTGAGGGCGGTTGTCACCCAGATCACGAAATCTCCTTTTGCCATAATTTCTCTTCTTTTTGAGGAGCTATTGAGGAATGGCTATTGTGTTCTGATAACTGTGGAAAAGCTGTGTCAGTTACCGTGCATTGCACCAGAGACTGTTTCCAAACAACTCCAGAAGACACTCGTCAGTGTAACAAGCCGACCGACTTTGGGCTTTTTTCTCGAGTTTCTGGACATCGGCAACCAAATGTTTGCCATGTCGTGAAAGACACTCTGGAGGTCCATCGCAAGACGTAGGGCTCTTGCCGCATCGCTTCCACTGACGCGTTTTCTGGGTTTTAGAATCAAGAGTAGCCAAATATGCTTTCAGTCAAAGTCGATTTTCTCAGCCATAATCGCTGCGAAATACCACGGCAGAAATGCTCTGAAGAGATCATTGACTAGGGTTTACATACGTTTTACAATGGATGTTCAAAAATTGTCTCTGGTGATTTCACAACATACACATGGAAATGGTCAAAGACTTATGGGACAACCTTGGAGCAGTAACCACCGTAAGGCTTCGGAAAGGCTCACCGATCGAGCCGTTCTTCGGACTATGTCAGAGCCTGCTATTCTCGCCTGCGGTCGCGAGAGACATTCAGCAGAACTAAAATGCTCTTTATCAATATCCCATGTAATTTTCGTATCTTCCACAGTTTTTATTCCACAATTTCATTTAAAAAAGCAGCGATTATTCGTAGAGATTTGCAGTAAATGTGTGCATAGAGCTCTTAGCAAAACCTCAAATCTGCTTTCAGATTGAAAATTCGTCCACTTTGAAGAAAGTTATAATCATTTGAATATTTGTTCAAATTTCAATAGTAAATAAGCTGCTCCACGGTCAACGCCAAAGTCCAGTCAACACACAGCTGCTTAACGAAGGCTTCTTCAACAGAGGGGACGTGTAGATTGAGAGGCATACCCTGTGTTTTAGTCAAATTTGGTAATCCTCTCCAAGGAAATAAAGGGAGAAGAGATGTTGACATAGTATGCCGTTTTTAGTGACTAGTTTATGGTTTTTTGGTCCGTTTTCCATTTGTTCGTTTGGTAAGACTCATCCCAAGAATAATTTTTCGACTTTTGTGCTTTTGTACT